CAGGGAAGTCAAAATGGCACCACATGAAATGAGACCCTAATTGTCTGTCTTTACTAGATACACACCGGGAAAGCACCTTACTTAAAAAAGCAATGGTAAAGGGAACATAAATGGCTTATAGTCCTGGTAAGAAGTAGGGCAAAAATATGGAGATGAAAAGTTACGTATAATTATATCCACTTAGCGGCTGTACTTGGCAGTACTGTGGATCCTTGCACATGCTAGATAAGTGCTCTAAACCCCTCAGCAACATCCCTAACCCACAGTTAGAGGTTTACAAGAGCTGCACAGTGGCATGCATACATGCACGTTTGGACAGAAGAGATAAAATGAGAGCTTTGTCAGGTTATTGGATGCTATGTGATTGTTTTCTTTTTTCCTTTCTTTGATGCTGGAGATTGAATCTAGGGCTTTATGCATGCTAAGTACAAGCTCTACTACTGCGCTATGTCCTCTGCTTGTTCAATTTTGTGTAGTAAATGGGAAAAGCAAAGTGAGTTACTACGTTGTGTCTACTGAAGAACAACAGCATTAAAACATTCAGAAGTTTGACTGGGGGTGGGGAGTAAGGCATATGGACTGGGGTTAGAGCAGCCTGTGAACATAATTCCTGCTTATAGAGTCAGGATCCTGGTCACAGCAATGGGGACGAGACTTCACAATGAATATTAAAGATTTACTGAGGGGGCAGTGTACTATTAGAGTTTTGTTATAATGTCTCTCCTTCTCTTTTAAAAATGTCCTTACATACACACAGACACACACGTGTTTTTTGATGGTGTTGGGTATTGAACCTAACACTTCATGCTTAAAAAGCAGGCTCTTTACCACCGTGCCACAGCTCCATTCCTCCCTTAAAGGTATAAAAGAGGCATTATATTTATGTTCATAGAGCACGTCAAGCTCTAAATTTGCTAATTCCACAGTAATTCCAAGCTGTTATTCATAGTATATACAAAGTCTTGTTTCAAATAACCTGTATCTGCAATCCTGATTAATTATACATGTAGGAAGTGAAAGAGTAACTAATCACACTAACAAAATATTCATTTCAAGCTCCTAATGATTTTGACATAATAAAATGCTCATTTCCTGGAACGAGGGACTGACAGACTGAAGGGAAATTCCCACGTTTCACTTCGATGCTACTAAGAAAGTCAGGTGAACCGAGAAAGTTGGAAGGTCAAACTGAAATAGGAAGATAATTTTGTTCTTATCATAAAGCAATCCATATCCCTTATACAGTTTCCTTCTTTCCAGATAGCCTTTTCTGGAATGAATTTATGCCTTTTGGATGATATTTCAGAGACAAGGAGACAAGATACACTCTGAGGACCGTGGAAGAAGATACATACTTTCTGGAAAAGTTGGAATATGTATTAGAACCAAGGGAATAATCAAATGCAGCAGTGCATAACATCCTAGTACTCTGAGTACACGAAGCAGGACAGTTGCAAGTTGGAGTCCAGCCTGGACAACTCAGTGAGACCTTGTTTCAAATAAAGAATAGAAGAAGGCCTGGCTCACAGTTCAGTGTGAAGGCCCGTGGTTCCTAGTACTGTACATGAGGAACAGCAAGCCAGCAAGCAAACAAACAAACCCACAAATCTCCAAGACCTGTAAGGTTCCCTAGATCAGATGCAGATTTGAAAGAATCCCAAGAAAAAAGAACCAACATTAATGACAAGAGTAAGAGCAGTATGTGTTATATCAACTTGTATTCAAACAAGAGATTCAGTATAAAATTAGATGAGGAAATTGTTTAATAAAGCAGATATATTATATATATAATATATATCTCTAGATGTTATTAAGTTTTGTAAGACTAGCCCCTGATCCCAAAGGAACTTACAAACATGATATGGCTAAAAACAGTAAAGATAGACGATAAGTAAAATTATTGAATTATCTAAAAGTCTGTCTTGTGGAAATCTGACTAAGGTTACTATTTTTTTTTTTTTTATCAGTACCGGGAATCGAACTCATGACTGTCTGCTTGCTAGGCAGGTTCTTATGCCGCTGAGCTAAGTCCCCAGCCCCTGAGGTTACTATTTTACAGTGCAGAAAATATACAAAATAAACACAAAAAGAATGTTCTAAAATTTTGCAACATGGAACAGCCCAGGTGTCAGACAGCGGACTTCTTTGCCTAGCATTCACTCATGTCCTGGGTGCCTTTGCAGGTCAGGGGTTGGGGACTCAAGGTTCAGCAGTAGGTAGGACACATCCATTACCCGCCAGGGGTCACAGGCCAGCCTCTCCTGAGGTCCTGCATCACTAGATGGTTATGAGACATGGGCATGCTGGAATGAAACATCAAGGTTTCTTGCTGTATGGCAAGGGATAGAGCTCTCGTTTCAGTCTTCTGGATATGGGTGTCACTTTACTCAGAACCTTATTTTCTTGAAGAATATGATTATGTGTCAGTATAAGATTTAAATTTAAGGTCACGATAACAGCAAGAAATCAGAGACATTCAATAGCATAGAAAAAATTCACTTGAAGAATTTGGAAATATCACTTAGGGTGAGGTGGGCTTAGAAGCACTGTGCAAGGAATTGGAGCTTACACAGATGGCCAGGAAGAACCCCGTAGGAAGATGTCTTAGTTAGTTTTCTCTCATTGCTAAGACATGATACCCAACACCCAAAGTTAAAAGGGGACAGTTTCACTTAACTTACAGTTTGTAGAGGCTTCATTCCATAATCAGCTGGCTCCCAGGTAGGGCAGAGAGGCAACTGTTCACGATAGTGGAAGATACCAAAAGTAACAGGAGCAAAAGCGAGAGACAGGCCTCCTTTCCTCCTTTATGCTGTATGCAGGCTACCTGCCATAGGATGGGTGTAACATCCAACATCCCTAATCCCAGCACTAGACAATGAACCAACCAATCACAGACTCTAGATTCAACTGCCTCCAAAAAGCCCATCCCTATGACCACATGAGACTTTGAGAGGACGTCCAGACATAAACCATAACAGAAGAAATGGATTTTCAGTTACCTAAATAGAACAGCATATAAAATACTTGTTGGAGAGGGAATTATTTCATTGGACCAAGTATATAGAAGCAAGCTGTCATTTTGCAGGAGACTAATGAGATTATGGAGAAACAAGAGGATTTTATTCTGGGCTTTTCAGTGCATACCAGTCCAGCAGACTTTTGTGTGTCCAAAATGACTGAGCACCAAAGAAAAGGCTCCAACTTTATGTGTTTTGTCAAGGGCCTCGGTCTTTCACATGGAGCTCGTGGGCAGGCAGAAGGAAAACAAAGCAGTCTGTCAAGCTGAGACAGTTTTGTACCTTGATGGCCCTGCTTGGGTGTAACAGGACATTATGGGAACAGGAGGTTACAACATTTTACTTATAGGGACAAAAGTTACTGCTTTTATCTTATCAGAACAAAGCATAACAACTGTTGGGAAGGGAAAGTTTGGGAAACTTGACCTTTTCTTTTTAAGTCTTCCTTTAGTAGAAATAAACCCAGAGCACTATGCAGGTAGGTTGTTAAAGGATTTGAAAAACATTTTCCCGAATTTCAATTAATCCCAGCATTAACTCTTATTCCCATGATATTTGCCTTAACTATGCATCATTTATTACTTCCTGGTTTTTGTCTTGAAGATTGATGGGCATCTTTTATATTGTGTCATCTTGAACTCTGTCATCCATAGTTTCCACGAGTTACATAATTTTCTGATAACCATGACACCTGCATTATAACTATTAACTCTTACTATTTTTCTGTACATCTTGCAATGGCAATTTGCTTACCTGTCATGGAGCATGTAACATGAAATGGACTGAATACTTCTGCTGGTCTAAATCCTCAGGTGGAAAACTAGTCCCCAAACTGACATGAAGCAGGACCATTGGGAGGTAATGAGGTCATGAAAAGAGAGTCTTCATGAATGGTATTAGTGTTTTTATAGAATAGATCCCCAGACTTTCCTTCTTCTTCCCACCAAGTGGGTTGACAGCAGGAAGATGGCTGTCTGTGAACCAAGATGCAGGCTCTCATCTGAAAACCAATCTGCCAGCACTTTAATATCTGACACCTCAGAATCCAGAATGGGAAGAAATAAACTTCTGTGGATTATAAACCTCTCAGATCTGATGTTTTGTCAGTCTGAATGGATTAAAATGCACAGCTGGAGAATTAGTACTTTAAGTAACAGAGAGCCACTGACTATTTTGAAGTCTAAGTGGCATAACAGGGGTTATACTTTGGAAGCAAATTTCCTGGTGATTATGTGCAGAAATGGGTTTTTCTATGATGGGAGATAGGGCAATAAACTAAAAAATCGCCAGCAGGTTTAGTGATGATTAGAAGATGATATTTGAAATTGTATGGTGAATTGTAAGTGGGGCACGAAGAGAGAAGAAAATGGCAAGAGACTCAAGTTCAATAGGGAAAATAAGGATGGTGTAAATCTATGGCTAATATTTAAGAATGGAACTTGGGAATTGGGCACCGTGGCTCACGCCTATAATCCCAGCACTTGGGAGGCAGAGGCAGGAGGATCATTTCGAGTTCAAGAGTAGTCTGGGCTACAAAGTGACTTCAAGGCCAGCCTGAATTGCACAGTGAGAGCTTGTCTCAAAAAAAGACACTCCCCCCAAAAAGAAAAAAATAATGGGCCTTGATTTAAACTATGTTTTATGTCTATAACAGTCAAATAAATAAATTTTCCACAATTTGCTGCTAGCATAGCTGTTTGCCCTGCTATCGAAATACTGGTTTAGCAGGAAGGTATATTATATGAAAAAGTAAGCGTTCACCTGCCAGTCAGTTTTGGACTGAGTAGGACCCATTTGGTTAGAGCATTGGTTCCAATTTTAGAGATGGGCTGACTTAGCAACGTCAACACAGCACTGAACGCCTGCCTCGGCAAGTTGTGTACTTCTGGCTGCCAGTTTTCTTGCACAACATCCTTTGTCGGTGCTGTGTTGCACAATATATTCATGAGAATGCAGAAGTAGCTGATTACCTGGCAGAGACTTAACCCGCGGGTTTTTCTACTGATGCAAAACATAAGAATCTGAGCTTGTCTTCGAAAGATTGCTACCTTTAGCTATGACTACACTGTATTCTCCAAAACGTGTAGTGATTTTTGCCCTCTTCATCCTGAACGTCAGGGCTCTGGACACGTTTGTTGCTGCAGTGTATGAGCATGCAATCATACTGCCAAATAGAATGGAAAAGCCTGTTTCGAAGGAAGAAGCTTTGCTCCTGATGAACAAGAACATAGATATTCTGGAAGATGCAGTCAAGCTAGCAGCCAAACAGGTATTGTCCTTCTTATCCTGGCTGGGATGTAGTGAGGGAGAATTGCAGCTTGGTAACAGGGTGGGTGTTTGGAATTCATGAGGAACTCTTCTGCCCCTCTCCTTGTGTTGTCCAGGGTGCACATATCATTGTGACCCCAGAAGATGGAATCTATGGCTGGGTCTGTTACCAGGGAGAGTATTCATCCCTATCTGGAAAATATACCAGCCCCTGAAGTGAACTGGATTCCCTGCAGAGACCCCAAGAGGTAAATCCATATTACTACCCTTTGATTTTTGAACAAAAAAGTTGTGATGGTGGAGAATACCAATACCTAATTCACTAAGTTTGCCTAGTAATTTTTCTGGGAAATCATCCATGACAGTACATTTTGACATTTCTACTGCTTCCTAATGTTTACCATCTGGCATGTCTCTTGTGTGGCACTAAATTAAGATAAGGATGCTTGATCATTATCCATTTGTTAGAGTTTTATTAAAGAACAGTGTGGATGTAAACAAAATTTTTGTAGTGCTTGTGTTTAATTGGGTTTCAACAAAGTGAAAACATTGTAATATCTGGGATCTATGTTCTCAAGTACACTGAGTCGGTTCAACCATGATCACCCGTCTTGTTCATACAAATGAGAAAAACAGGAACAAGTATGTTTCCCAAGAGTTTTGCTATCACCATGATTTACAGTGTAACCAATAAGGTGAATGGAAATTGCATGGGAGTGGAAACAGGAAGCACTCTTTCTGAGAGCACATTGTGCTGCCCCCTGGCGGCCCATGTCCCCTTATGATGTGGAACATATAACCTAGATGCTTGGCATTTCTGTTCCTTTCTTCACCTGCAGAATGGGCATGATAAAATTTCTTCTCTATTTTCTCATGCAGTAGACAAGAGTGTCCAGTGAAGTACAGACATGGAACCAGCGTACTTCACTGTCAGTGTCACTTATTTTTAACAGAAAGAACTCAGTCTGACTTCTTTGCATTCTTGTCCTTAGATTTTAGTAATTATTAATAGCTATGTCTTAAGCATAACTTTCCTGAAGAAAATATGTGCAACAAATAAGATTACAAAATAGGTTGATTTAGGTATACTTGCTTTTAAAAATAATTTATATCTAATTCCTTTAAATAGCAAACTTTAACAAGTAGTAAACTTACTAATTTTATATTTACATGCAGCTACACAGAGCTGCAGCAGTTGTACAAAAGAGGAACTTCCTTAGTAATTTGGATCACATGAAGTCAAGCAGAGTCAAGTTCATGAATTATTATTAGCCTTGGCTGAATTCTGTCAGATTGAGAAGGTAAATCACAGATAAAACTTTAACATTATTGAGTCCTATAGACATTTATCCAAATGGCTCTATGTTAGAAAAAGGACAATTCCAGTTATTTAATGTAATGACAGTATTAAAAATGAAACCCATATTTTCTTCCCTATTTATGAAAGGAAACACAGAGGGTCATGTGGTCATTTCCATATATTTAAACACCATTGCTTGGAACACTGACATGTCAAATACTTTCTTGTGTGTGTGGTTTTTTTATAAGAAATTTACACTTAACCAAGAGAAGAAAATTGCACAAAATAAATGACAAGCTTATTAAAAATATTCATAAAGGGGGGCTGGAGGTTTAGCTCTGTGGCATAAGTGCCTGCCTTGCAAGCAGGCAGTCATGAGTTCGATCCCCGGTACCGATAAAAAGGAAAAAGACAAAAAAAAAATGTTCATAAATGATTGTATTTCCTTGTTTATCCTGAAGGAAAAAAACATAAAAATCTAAAGGAATGGGCTATATTAATTTTTCCTTTTTATCAAAGATTAGTTCATCTTCAGTTTCTGACTTCCAAAAGCAATAAAGCCATCCCTGGTGTAGGTTGGTCCCTTGGCAGCCATTACTTATTTGTTGAGCACTTGCTTGGTCCCAAGAACTATATCTGTGGTGCCTGTTCAGTTTATCACTAGAGATAACAGCTGTCATCACTATGTGTATTTTAACTTTGAAAAAAAATGGAGGCTTATGTCCTTCTAATTAGTAATTAAATTTGCTCCTAATTTGTCACTAGATTATTGCAAATAAAATAGCAGTTTTCATTAAGCTTTTATAGCTGAACAAACTGAGGGCCTGCTGGATTGCATTATGCTGGTATTTTCAGTAAGTAGAGAATCCACTTATCCCCTCAGAGGGGTTTGTTTTCTGAACATTGGGTGTCCTATTTTCTGCTGAATTCTACCTCCTCCTAGCTTCCTCTGGTCTCCATTCTGCCTCTGCCTCGTGTAGTGCATTTGAATACACAGCCCACATCTCTCAAGTGAGAGCCCTTCGAATATTTGAATCCAGCTGTTATCTCACCACGTTCTCTTATTTTGGGGGTAAATATCCCCAAATGTGGATGGGGTTTAACACTACTCTGAAAAACAATTTTAGGGTCTGAATTTTTCTTAGGATTTCTCCTGAGGGCCCTTTAAAGTGGAAAGAGACCTGCATGTTACATTTAAGGGATGGGGAGACTGAGGCAGTAGTCATTTACATTTTCTCTGCACAGTGCTGCAGCTGTTCCCTGAGAAGATGCTCCACACCGGGCTGTGCTGCCCAGCCCCTTGGTATTCGTGTTTGTCACAGCACAGCATATCAGCAAATGTGTAGGGCAATGGTTTAGATGAGAGATGAAGTCTTTCTTACAGAAGGATGTGCTAAATTTTAAGCCCTTCCCTGAGTTTGCTAGGAGCACCTCATAAGAAAGTGCCAGCCAGGTGTGCATGCCTATAATCCAAGCACTCTGAGGCAGGAGGATTGCAAATTCGAGTCCAGTCAGGAAAATTTAGCACCTCAGCAAGACTCTATCACAAAACAAAACAAAAAATAAAATAAAAGAAAGGCCTAGGGGTGGAGCTCACTATGAAGGCCCTGTATTCAATCCCTAATACTGTAGAAAAGGAAAAGAAAAAGAAAGAAAGAAAAGAAAAGAAAAGAAAGAAAGAAAGAAAGAAAGAGAGTTTCAAAAGTGGCAACTTGCTAGGGGATTGGGCGGAGAGTCTCTCCAGAGAAATCATATTAGATGCTAGAATATGACAACATGAGGGCCAGACGAATGGATAATGATTCTTATTAACCAAGACAGCACGGCTGGAGGATTTAAGGTCGTGCTGAGACTGCAATGGCTGATAACGGGAGTCTGCAAATCCCGAATCTTTAATGTGGCACACTGACCAGTGGATCCAAGAGGAAAAGCTGTATTGGCTTTTAGTGACTGCTGGAAATTGAGACCCAGGACCCTGCGAAGCAGCCAGGGCTGCCCGGCTGTACTGGAGGAAATTGTAAGACGCTCCGGAGTTCCGAAGCTGGCACCAGGCAGTTTTCTGACCATTCCGTGCTGTGTTGGGAACGCAGTGAAGGCAAGCAGCGTAGTGTGCAGTAGACTCAAGAGGAAGACCTGCACTGAGTCCTGGTGAGTACTGGGGACTGGGTCCCGCGGCTGCTGTGGCTGGCTGGAAGACATCTTGGAATTGGGCAGAGCCTGCCACCACGGTGACATCAATAACACAGAGAATCTGGTGGAAGACATCTTGGAGTTGGGCAGAGCCTGAGGCTCAGTGACATCAGACAGTTGCCCTTGGCATAGAGAGGTCTGGTGGAGGACATCTTGAAAGTGGGCAGAGCCTGGTGCCATATCGGCATCAGCGACATAGAGAGAACTAGTGGAGGACATCTTGGAATTGAGCAGACCCACAGCCTCGGTGACATTAGATAGTCGCTCCTGGCACAGAGAGGTCTGGAAGAGGACACTTAGGATTTGGGCAGAGCCCTGTGCCATAGTGACATTAGCCAGCTGCTTCTGGCACAAAAGGAACTGGCAGGATCTGCTGGGGCTGAACCAAGCCTCTGGTTGGGACCCAATAAGAAGATACAAAATAGTCATGATTCTGTGACATCCAAAAAGTACAGCCTAATTTGCAGATTGACTGGCACAGAGGCTGGAGGCTAGCCTGCACCATCCCTGCATCCCTGCCTACCCCAGATAACAGCAAATTGGGGAGGACAGCAAAAACTCAAGTCAACACACTTCTGAAAGGCCCTAAGCAATACATAGAGGGCCTGATACCCCTAGAACACTCCAGTCTCACAGAAACCAGAAACATGACAAGAGATAGAAATTTTAAAAAATCTCCAGCTGCCCAACATGAGAAAATAAGCCCAGGAGAAGTAAACACTGAAGAGAACAAGCACAGTAACCATCCAATACTGGACACAGCATCAGCTGAAATAAAAAAATACCTCCATGACCTCATAGATGAATTTAAAGTGGTACTCCTGATCCAAGTGAGGCAAGATATAAAGAGATTAATTAAAGAAATGACAAACCCTGCCCAAGAGAACACAGATGGAAGAACTGAGGAAATCAGAAAAGAAAGAGAAACTTCTGAAGAAGAATTTAAACATAACTTAGAATACATGAAACAGATCCAAAGAGATTACCAGGAAACTAAAAACTCCATTGAACACTGGCAAAATGTGTTGACAGAAACTAAAGTCAGCCTTTTGAAACTTGAAGAGAGATTTATCATATATGATTGTGAAAGAAAAGACCTCTTAAAAATAACTAGGAACCAGAAAGAAACAATTCAAAGGCTAGAAGATGACAAAAGGATACATAACTTAAGAATAAAGAATGTGAGTGAGGAAGCAGGAGCAACCAAAAATGAAATACAAAGAATATTCACAGATATATTAAAGCAAAATTTCCCATGTATAGCAAAAAAAAAAATGATATCCAGATAAAAGAGGCATACAGAACACCAGCTACCTACAACCAAAACAGAACTACACCCAGACATTTAATAATCAAGATTCCAGAAATCCACCAAAAGAACAGAATATTAAAAGCAGCCAGAGAGGGGCTGGGGATTTAGCTCAGTGGCATAAGCGCCTGCCTTGCAAGCAGGCAGTCGTGAGTTCGATCCCTGGTACCGATAAAAACGAAAAAGACAAAAAAAAAAAAAAAAAAAAAAAAAGCAGCCAGAGGAAAAAAAAAGCAGATTACTTACAACAGGAAAATTATCAAAATAAAAACAGACTTATCAACACAAACTCTTAAATCAAGAAGGGAATGGGGAGAAATATTCCAAGTCCTGAAAGAAAATAATATCCAACCAAGACTCATATACCTATCAAAACTCTCTCTCAAAATTAATGGAGAAATAAGATGCTTCCAAGACAAGGAGGAACAGTGGGAGTTCGTGGCCACCAACCCAACCCTACAGAGAATGAAGGACATTCCAGAGAAAGGGAGGAAGAGATACCAGCATTCCAGCAGCAGTGGCAGAGAGGCCTCAATGAACAGGGCAGAGAGTGGAAAGAGGGAGTAAGGTGAACAAATTATAGCAGTAAAGTGGAGGAGCAGACATGAGGCAGAGATGGTAAGCTATAGGCCTTAGTATAGATAGCTTTGATACACTATTAAAAAAAAAAGCAGAGGTCATTGTTAATAGTGTATCAGGATTTAAAAGTCACAGTAGTCTTATCCCCCTGTTTAGTTTGAATTTAATTTGTTCTGGTCTGTCCACTCATATTGGATTTGAGGGCGCAGACATCTGACCCAAAAATAGCAGGTTATACCATGGTAACTATCCTTAATTTCCTATTAACTTAAGCTGAAATCTTGTACTACTTATATTGGCTTACTATGACTGATCTTATTTGAATCCAATTCATAAGACCGCAGTTTTGCCTTGGCTGATTTTATTTGAATTTGATATGTTTGATAGTATCAACCCTAAAAGTATAGGTAACTACTCTGAAGATGACAAGATATAAAAGACATCCATAGCAGTATTAATTATTAACAGCTCTCAAGTCCTACAATGTTTTCAAAGTTGTGTTATTATAAAAATAGCTAGGTAATACTATGTTCAACTATATTAAGCCCGATGATATGGACAAGACTATTGAAAATAAGAGAAAGCATAGTAACTATGGTAGATCACCTAATATTGTGGTCTTATGTGTCTTTTTTACTGCATGTTTTTCTAGGAATTTGTTTTGCTGTCTTGTTATGATTTGTTTTCCCTTATAATACAGATTGATATGTTTAATCTTACCCTCTTTAAGATATAAAACAAGTGTGTAGGACTGATAACCATATTACTGAGTTTTTGTTGGATCATTGAGCAGAACTGTTGTCACTATTTGAATGTCATTTTACATACTTTAATTTTGTAACCTGAACAGCTATTTCTAAGATGACAATATGTAACTTATCAACTGGTGATTTCTTACCATTTATTTTTCTGTAATTCTGTATTATTTCTGTATTATTTCTACCCTTTTTTTTTATCTCCATGTATTTTTTTGTTTCTTTCTCTTTAAATTAAAAAAGAAAGAAAGGAAAAGTGTTCTTTTTCCTCCTCCTTGTTCTCACAAGGTGGGCATGAGGTAGGACAGAACTATGGTTACCAATAAGGTTACAAGTATAATTACTCAGGTAAAAGTGATTAAATTGGGATCAAATGTGGAAGTGAATCAGGTCGCAAGTGGGCGTGAAAGGAGACATGAATATAGATCAGGGCTTCTTCCTATAGGAGGCTGGGTTAGTGGCTCCTTCTGGCTTCTTCAAGATGATGGATACCAACTAAGAATATCAATCCCTGATGTTTATACTTGGGAGTGTGGGTGCATTTGTTTATCTTTTGTTTTGAGATCAGGCCAACAGCAGGCATGTCTGTCTCCCGTATAGTTGCAAGCTTTCTGGGCTTCTGCACTGGTTCCTTTGAGGGCCTAGCCCTGACTGTCTATAATATTTTATCTTAGCTGCCTATAACAATAAGACTTGGTTTTTGCGTAGAGAGGCATTCCTAGTCCTTGTCTCGGTCTTGGAAGTTTATATTTGTAATCTCATGGAAAAGTTATTGGAATTCCAATAATTTAATTTCAATTTACCACTTCCAGTACAACCCACAGCCAGAACAAAGACACTAAGACATATTTATAGTTATGGGGAGTGAATGGGGTCCTAATTCCAGCCAGGATGAAGGTTCATTTGGACAAAGGCCTTGGTCCAGGCTTGAACCTGAACTTTATTAATTTGTGAAGAAGGGAATGGTTTGAGGTTGAGTGACTTGAGAATGGTGAGAAATTCGTGAGTGTTGTGAGCTGGGCTAGGCAGACGGCCTGAAAGCACCTCTGCAATACTCAGAGAAGAATATGCAAAAAGATCAATCTGCATAACACAAATGAGGTAGTATCTAATGTTTTGGAGTCTGGGCCTCTGCTCTGATGTGTAATATTTTTAACTTTGGGAAGTCACAGAGTCTTATCTCAAGGCTCATCCTAGCCTGCGTCATGGAGCTTGGCTCTCCTTCCCATCCTGCTAGTGAATGTTCTTTAGGGGCTACAGATGTGTGGGGGTGGGGATACTGCCACCTTGCTTCGAGGACTACATTGCTTTTCATTGCTTAAAGCTAATTGAAGGGATAAGGAAAAATTCTAGCCAGCTCTGTATAAATCACTACATGGAGATAGGGCCAGGTGTAGTCAAAATGGAGAGTCATCCACATATTGTACTGTATAAACGAATTTTAAATTTGTATCACTTGATATAAATAGTTTTTTTCTCTCTCTTTTTTTTTTAACTAATTAGACTTCACACTGGCAGTGCTGTTGATATTTAAACTACATTTGGAAACACTCTGGAAACTTTAAGGTTTCATCCTGTGATTTTTAAGATAAAAACACTGAGCATCAATACTGTAATTGTGACTTTATTTGCTGGTTGTGGATAAAAGGTTTTATGATTAAGGTCACAGTAAGATGAGTGTACACAACTCATCTTCGGTTGTGGAGTGGACATGGCTTGTGCAAATGCATGTGCAATAGTTCCGGGGTTGCACATCAACATTCATGCCAGGAAGATAAGGCAGCTTTGGTCACATCCATTGGCGATTTGCTCTTTCACTAATTTCCTCCTTCTTTGTGTTTTCTTAACAGTACAATCTGTTTGCACCAGAAATTCGGTTTGATTTGCCTAAGGATTCAGAGTTTGTGACTTTCGACACCCCGTTTGGGAAGTTTGGCATCTTTACTTGCTTTGACATTTTTTCTCATGACCCTGCGGTGGTAGTAGTGGACAAGTTGCAAGCTGATAGTGTTCTCTACCCCACGGCGTGGCTCAACACGCTGCCCTGCTCTCGGCTGTACCCTTCCACTCGGCATGGGCCGGGGCCATGCGAGTCAACCTGCTTGCTGCAAACACCCACAGCACCAGCATGCACATGACAGGTAACTCACGCTCATCACGTGTGAGATGACAGTGACAGTCTTGGGAAGACTTCTCTGGTTTTTGAGCCACAATTTCTTTAATAATTCACTTATGAACTCTTATATCACAAAATGAATAGTAGCATGGGCTTTTGCTTAAGAAATTTTATTATTTTTGGGGTACATGATTGGAGCATTGGTACGCATACACATTGCATTTTAATTTTACTAACTCCATTGGAAAAGGAGCTTTATTCTTGGGAGGAGAGATAATCTCAATGAGATGTGGGGCTGGTCGGGGGAGGTGGGGAGCTGTTGCTCAGTTGTGAGGCACTCGGGTAACACGAGCAAGAACCTGGGTTCCAACCCTCCGCCCAAGCCCTACACCTAAAGAAGAAGGAAAAAGTTTGTGCATCTTTTTGTTGCTGCAGGGAGTGGAATCTATGCCCCTGAAGCCGTCAAGGTGTATCACTACGACATGGAAACCAACAGCGGCAGGCTGATGCTTGCAGAATTGAAGTCTCGGCCTCGCCTTGAGCTTACCTACCCTGCAGCAGTTGACTGGAGCGCTTATGCCAGAAGTGTCCAGCCATTCCCCTCTAGGCAATCAGATTTTCCAGGGATGATTTATTTTGATGAATTCACCTTCACTGAGCTTAAGAGAGATGCAGGAAATTATACGGTGTGCCAGAAAGACCTGTGTTGTCACTTAACTTACAAGATGTCTGGGAAGCGCATAGATGAGGTCTACGCCCTGGGCACTTTTGATGGACTGCACACAGTCGAAGGCCAATATTACTTACAGGTAGCCGGGTGTGCCTGTGTTAGTGTGGTCTTAGTGTTACTGAGGCTACACGGCCTTTCTTTAAAACTCACGCTGTTTGCCTGTAATCCTAGCACTCAGAAGGCTGAGGCGAGAGAATCACTGCGAGTTTGAGGCCAGCCTGGGCTACAAAGTGAGTTCAAGGCCAGCCTGAACTGCATGGTTAAACCCTGTCTCAAAAAGACAAAAATAAAAACAATGTCAAAAGCCACTTATGCCAGATCTAGTTAATTAATGTTCTGTTTATCAAATTGTCTTTCCCAAGCTTTTAATTTATTCAGTCTTGGCAAAACCAGAATCAGTTTTTTTGGTTGCAAGGTAAAAACATAAAGCAAATTCATTAGCTCCCAGGAGGCCAAGTTCAAGCTTAAAAAGCTGCAACTTTGGTGTGTTCTGTTCCCTCAGGTAGGTGACTTACAGCAGTGTTTTCCAAGCTGTCTTCAACTGGGGACGAATGTTTTAAACTCTGACCTAGTGTAACTCCATGGATGTGTGACTGACTTAAAAGAGATATTGAAATGAATCAGTTATGAAGTTATCCATGTTAGTATTGGTGCAGGAGAACTGAGTCACCTATAGCCACAAATGCAGGAAAAGAAGGGACATTTGATTGATGCTAGCAGACCCCAGATGAGCAATCTCCAAACTAGGTGCTGATTACAGAGCTTGTTCTATTTACAGAGTGGGAAACAGAAGTTACAAGAACAAGATAAGCCAAAAAAAAAAAAAAAAAAAAGGCTGGGGATTTAGCTCAGCGATATAAGCACCTGCCTTGCAAGCAGGCAGTCGTGAGTTTGATCTCCGGTACCGATGAAAAGACAAAAAAATAAAATAAAAAGAGAACAAGATAAGCATTAGCTGAAGGCCATGACACAATGGGTATCTTGTGGTGAGCACAGTTGTATGTAGCAAAGTTGTTTTTAGCACATTCACAGAAGTTTCAGTCTGATGACAAATCATAGGATTTAGCAGGGTTCAGTGGCAGGGAATAGGACGCCTACAGCTTTACCAAACAAAGTGATTTCAATTAGGTCAGGATTTCTGCTTCAGTAATAACTAAAATGAACATGTAATGCACTCTGATTTTAAAAATTCTAGTCCATTGTTTGGCATCATTAAAAGAAGAATGAGGAAAAAAATCCTTAACCACTACATTGGAATTAGGATTCATTAATAAGTTTAAAAAAACATAGCTTGAGGGGAAGCTTAACTATTTCTCCCAGTCTTTGAAATCATGCTATTTAGCTGAGAAATATTTCCAGGCTTCTGAATGGTTCTCTTCTCCTTGTCGGATAGATATGCACGCTCCTGAAATGACAGACCACTGACCTGAGAACCTGTGGGGAGCCCGTGGGATCCGCTTTCACCAAGTTTGAAGATTTCTCCCTCAGCGGCACCTTCAGAACCAGCTATGTCTTCCCGCAAATCGTCCTGAGTGGGAGCCAGCTGGCCCCTGAAAGGCACTAGGTGGCTTTCAAAATGATCCAAGTCTTAGAGCAGATGGGCCAGAAAATCTTCCAGGTAATGGGGCCCTGTTGAAATGTTATTGTTCATAGTCTACGAAAGACTCTTTAAAGCTATGCGGGAACACAATCTGTGGCATGACATGCAATTTGTGGTTTCAGATAATCCTCAGGCTGGGAGGGAGAAACTGGGGTTCACTTTTCTACATAAAGGTGATGTACATGAGAACCAGAGTAATATGACAGCCATTTGGAAGTTAGAATGAAGACATCGATTGCTGACCGTGGCAAATGAGCACTGTTCTGTTCTGTTGCATGGTATAGAAGGTTCTAGTTAAATATGGTACATGAAAGAGTTCGTTTCCAACTTTCTTTGTGGGTGGGTTATTTCCTAAGTTGTTCTAATGAGAGTCATAGTTAAAATTTGTGGAGGAAGTATTCTATTAGTTCAAAGATTGTTTTTTGGGGTGGTGGTGGTGCTGGGGCTTGAACCCAGGATCTTCACAGTTAGCTTCATCCCCAGTCCATTTTTATGCTTTGAGACAGGGCATCACTAATTTGCTCAGACTGGGCTCAAAGTCAGGCTCCTCCTGCCTCAGCCTTCCTGATGGCTCAGATTGTAGGCTTGTGCCATTGGGCCCAACTTAAAGGTCCCTGTTTAACATATTATCTTATTTGACCATCTCATCTTCGGGTCCTGGGTGCTTTTTACTGCTCTAGGTTGCTTTAGGAGTGATCTAGCAGACCAGCCCTCAGAGCTGGAAGTGACATTCTGTATTGGAGTGACTTAATCCTTTGCTTTCTTTGATTAGGTTTCAAGGGATGGACGCCTAAGGAGCCGGAGTGGAGCCCCCTTGCCTGTCTTAGTTATGGCGCTGTACGGCAGGGTGTTTGAGAAGGACCCTCGACACTTAGGTCAGGGACCTGCAAAACTGCAATGATCCCCCGCATGAAAGCTTGGCAAAGAGATGGGGTGAGAGACAGACAGACAGAGACAGTGACACAGAGATGTGGAGAGAGAGAAGAGCCTTTAGTGTCTGCTTAGAAGAGACGCCATAAACTTGTAACAAATAAACCTCGGATTTAAAAAGCAAGGAGAGGGCGGGTGATACAGCTCAGCAGCAAACGCAAGGTCATGTGTTCCTGATACAAAAAATAAATAAATACATAAAAATAAAAATCAAGGGGCTGGGGATTTAGCTCAGCGGCATAAGCACCTGCCTTGCAAGCAGGCGGTCATGAGTTCAATCCCTGGTACCAGAAAAAAGGAATAAATAAATAAATAAAAATCAAGGAGAAATAAAAATAAAAATAAAAACCATAGAACTATGGTTTGAATGTGATTTGTCTTGTCACTTTGTGATGCCCTGCATCAGCTTGGGACTCTGCCAGCCATTGTCAGATGAGGGCTATGGGTCTTAGACTAGAACCATGAGCCGAAATAAACCTTTTTTCTTTATAATTTACCCAGCCTCTGGCATTATGTGATTAGTAACAGAGGGCAAGGAATGTGAGGATAGAGTGAGACCAGAGACAGAGAAGGGAAGGGGAAATGAAAATGATTAAGATCCACAGAAGAACAGATTGGAAGATGCAGACACATCTGCAAACACTGAGCCAGCTTATCTTTGACAAAGGTACCAAACATGTTCACTGGAAGACAGTCTGCTTAATAAGTGGTGCTAGAAAAACTGGCTTTCCACATGCCAAAGACTAAAACTAGATCTTTGTCTGCCACCATACACTAAACTAAAGTCAAAATAGATTAAAGCTCTAAATATTAAAACAGAAACACCAAATCCACTGGAAGAGAAAGTAGGCAGAAACCTTGAAGACATAGATGTAGGCAGAGAATTCATGAACAAAACTCAGATTGCACAGGAAGTACTTCAAAGGATCAACAACTGGGATCTCATCTTATTAAAAAGCTTTTGCACATCAAAAAAAATCACCAGCCTAACCCAGGCATGGTGGTGCACACCTGTAATCCCAGCACTCAGGAGGCTGAAGCAGGAGGGATCATTGGAAGTTCAAGAGCAGCCTGGGCTACAAAGTAAGCTCAACTAGCAAAACCCTGTCTCAAAAAGGCCAAAAAAAAAAAAAAAAAAAAAAAAATCACCCACAGAATGAAAAGACAACCACAGAGTGTGAAAAAAATTTTAGCCAAGTGTACCTCAGACAAAGGACTTATATCTAGAATATATAAAGAACTGAAAAAATCAGATTCCCCAAAACTCAAAGACCCAATCCAAAAATGGGCATCTGAGATGAACACATACTTCTCAGATGAAGAAATACAAACAGCAAATAAATTTATGCTAGCTGGGTGCAGGTTATTTCTGCCTGTGACCGTGAGGATGTTAGAACTGGTGGTCTGGGGATTCCTTCCCTGTATGGGCAGACACCTTCCAGTCCCCCAAAGGCCTGCATCGCACAGACAACACAGAGGAAAGCTGTGTTCATTTCCTGCCTATTTGAGCTGGGCCCTGGCTGGGTCTTCTCCACCTGATGTTTGGGCCATTGAATATGGATCAGAATTGAGCTCAGCTGTCAGCCTTTCAGTTACATCACTGGCTTTCCTGGGGCTCCAGCTCAAAGATACGGTGAGGATCACAGGACTCCTCAGCCTCCATTGTGGGGTGACCCAGTACCTCACAATAAACACGTGATGATTCTCTTGCTCTGGTGAATCCTGACTAGTGCACACCGTCTGTGAATACTCAGGGTAAACTTTAAATATGTAGAAGGTATTTGATTGTAGTCAAGTGATACCTGGACATTTGTCGGCAGGGACAGCTTTTTAAGTAATCATGAACAACTTTGTAGCTAATTACACTTGCTCCACTGTCTTTGTATTATAATCTCCTTGACTCATAAGGTCAATTGGCATGGAAATAGTAAAGAAATAAATAATGGTCTTCAGATCACATGGTTTTCTTCTGAATATATTCCACCTCCCGTTCCGTCCAGTTCTGGTTAAGCTCCATGTGCAGGTACTGGTTGCAACCTAAGCCAGGCTGGAGCCTCCTTAGAATGGACTCCCATCACCTTTTTCCTTAGTAACCTTTGGCCCATTTTTCCTGTATCTCGGAGTCCTGCTGATTGGTCACAGATTAACTCTTGGAAGAGACTTGCAGGAGAGCAGGTGAGTTCTCTGGGGTGTTGTGGGCAGGCTGAGGATCACTGAGTTCGGAGCCATCTCTCGTCCCCACAGAAAGTATGGTGACTGCATTCCTAGGCTTTTTCCAGTTTTGAAAAGCTGGAGACCTTCTGGGCAGCAGAAAATGCCCTCTGTCTCCCCACTGCCGTCTGTCTGAGATTCTCGCCTCAGCAGCTGGAGTCCTCAGAGCCAAAACACTGTGGTCTGGGTGTTTTGGCCGTACAAGACATGGGCATCTTCCTTTTTAATGGACTAACACTGGCTCATCTCAGGCATCTTTCTTTTCCCTCTGTCATCTGGAGCTGGTGTGCCTAATGGGCTTAGGGTTAGGTAAGCACCCTTACCTAACCAGACTTCTGCATGCTCCTCAAAATCAGATCTCACTGTCGTTCCTCAGCTGCTCTTCTTCAAGATGGAATGTCTGAACTATGCCCCCTTGAAGTTGTTTTACCCTTTACCTTTCTTTTTTTGTCTTTCTGAGGCAGTTCTGGCAGTTCAGTGTCTTCTACGCAGTTCAGGCTGGCCTTGAGCTCACTTTTAGCCCAGGCTGATCTCGAGCTTGCAGTGACCCTCCTGCAGTGTGCCACCATGCTTAGCTCTACCCTTTATCTTTTAATGCCCTTATGTTTTATTTTGTTTTCTGTCTGGCCTTTCCCCCTTCCCTGGCCCCACTTCTCCTTTTGTTGACCATGAACTTAAAAAGGGGGAGTCCTGCCAGACTCAGCTCTCACAGATCTATCCTCCTCATCGAGACTATTTCTTTGGAGAACTTCAAGTATTTCAGATGCTGCAGAGAAAACGTACAAGTTAGTAAAATACAAATAAAAATCAATCCATCCATCAATCAATCAATCAGTCAAAAGAACCAGTTAGTCTGCAAAATACAATAAACATTGTGAACTTGTTGTGGCAGTGCACAGCTGTAATCCTAGCATTCTGGGGAAGGCTGAGACAGGAAGATCTTAAGTTTGAGCCCAACTGGCAATTTATTGTTTTGAGATCAGCTTCTGCCCTGGGCCCCAACCAGCCAAGCTAAAAATCAAAATGCAATCACACTAAACTTCCACATTACCAACTTGAAACTATTCTGCTTATGTGGCCTGTAAGCCTGACCTCAGGATTAGAGAGATAACAAAGCTTTCCAGTTTCAGTTGGCTTGATAACAAACTTCTCCTTAACCCGTAAACAAAAGGAGTAACTTGGAATAACCTGATGCCAACCAGCGCTTTTCTTATTCTTCTGTCTCCCAGTCTCCTCCTTGCAAGAAAAATAACTTGGATATGACCAATCCATTGCTCTTTGGATTCTACTTTCATCAGCCTTTGTCTGTCAACAGAAACAATATTTTTCTACTCAGCCATTACAACACTTATTTTATATCTTTTATTTTAAAAAGCAAAACAAAAAAGGATAGAAACAATACAGAATTTTAAAAAAAGAGTAGGAAATTAACACTAGTTAATATATTGTAGATTGTTGTCTTAGAAGTAGTCGCTCAAGTTAGATTTATGAATAAAAAATGATCAAATAATGAAAGTACAAAGTGTTATTTTTGATGAACTAACAGAGATGTAAGACAAAACAAAACAAAGAACTGGAAGAGTAATAAGCTCCAAAATGTACAGTAGATAGTGTGACGACGAAAGGGAAAGAAAGTGCTCAGAAAGAAAGAACAACTGGGACGGGGAAAAGAGAAAAGGAAGAAGGGAAAGACTGTGTGTACAGGGTCTACACGTGCACGTGTGTCTATGCATGCAGATACGTGCATAACATGGGTAAGTATGGTGGATGGATAACTATGCTAAGAATGTCTCTTAGTTCTCCAAAAAGAACAGTCTGTAACACTTACTTTGTTTTATATAATCTCTTGTAATCTACAAATGAGCCCTCAAACTCAAGTTCAAAAAATGAGGCACAAACATATTTTAAAAAGCAGTGCTAATTTATTTTATGCTGGGCCCAGTGACACAGTGCAGTTGGAGACTGCAAAAGCTGTGTGTCGCTCCTCCATACTCGCAGCCTTCACGTACATATCACAGTTTACAAAGGAAGGGGTTATGGGCGTGGATCAGGAAATCTGCTAATGAGGAAAATCTTAGTTTTCCTTAGCAGAGAGGACAGAGTAGTCTAGCAGTAATTAACAATCCTTTGTCAGCTTATTCTAGCACCACATCTGTTATTTGTAGAGCGTAATAATGGTTAACATATCAATTAGGTTAGGTTCCCAGGGATTCACAATTCTTTACAGAGGAAAGCCTGATTAACATATCAATTAGGTCACCCACAGAGGGAAAAACGCATACAGAACAGTAGACCTGCCTTACAGTACTTTGGCATAGTACAAACATAACCAGCAACAACGAAGCTCTTTTTGCTAGTATACAGCATAATCCTTTTTGCCCAATTCTAAAATCAAAAATAAAGCCTATTAAATTGTAAGTTTGTCCTTTGGGAAAGCTCAGGGGTCAAGAGTCTGCATTGAGAAACGTAAAAATATTTCTACTGTCTTATGGCCAAAATACACACTTACCCTGGGATCAAGTTTGTCACCGGGCTTAAGGCCAAGGAAAGCACTGACACTGAGTCACAGCCCGGTGAAAACCCACAGCTCCGTCCCCAGCAGCAGCAGCGCGAGGCCGGCCTCTCACCCTTCTCCGCACACACGGGGTGCACACGGCGTGCTCTGCAGCATCCACGGGAGGGGGAGGTGCTGGTGGCCTGAACCCCACTTACTGCTTATTCTCAGCTCCTTTTCTCTAGTTTCATGTTCTCTCCGCTCGAATGGGACAGGCTCTCCTCCCCGGCGGAGTCGCAGAGCCAGACTGGCGGTCAGGCTAGGGCGCGCCTCGCCTCTCCTCCTGGCAGTGCGATGTCCCTTTTCTTTTCTTTTTTATTTTTTTATCGGTACCGGGGATCGAACTCACGACCGCCTGCTTGCAAGGCTGAGCTAAATCCCCAGATCCCTCGATGTCCCTTTTCTATTTAAGAGGCCCCTGCGCCATCCACGCGGGATTAACCAGAGGAGCCGAGCCTGCAGGGCTCACGAAAGCTGTCTTCACAGCGGGGTCTGTTTCTTTCCAAGCGCTTCCTGCAGTCTGCCCTTCATGAGCAGAAGGGCTACAGTAGTGCGTGGTAGCTCATGCCTGTAATCCTAGCACTTAGGAGGCTGAGGCAGGAGGATCACTGAGTTCAAGGCCAGCCTAGGCTACAAAGTGAGACTCTGTCTCAAAAAACAAAACAAAAACAAAGACACACACACACACACACACAATAAAGATTTTTCTTTTTTAAAATAAAGATAAATTTACTTCTTCTACTTTTTCTCGCCTCCACCTCCGCCTCTGCCTCCTCCTCCTCCTCCTCCTCCTTCTTCATCTTCACAAGAAACACTAAAGAATTTTTACCCTGATTTGAGTTCGTTTGCCCTGAGAAGTTGGTGGCACATCAGGAGGAAAAACTCACAGGGGTGTGAGGGGTGCCCTTTGCCTGCCTGAGTTGTAAGGCCCCAGAGGGGCCACACTGAGCTGCCAGGAATTCATCTGGCACAGGTCAAGAGATCTTTCCCAGAGACCCGGTTTCAGGTTTCAGCAGCAGACTGTGCCTGTGAGCTTTTACCCTCAGCCGCCTGTCCTCTGGTCCGAGACAGACAGTTTCCATGATTCAGCTCAATTCAGGAGAAATACAACTCCCAGCCTGTCAGATGTCAAATACCCTGAGGTTGTGATCCCACAACATCAAGAAATGAATCCACAAACTGAAGGATGAAGTTAGGAGAGTTTGATTGTAAATGAGAGAAGAATAACTCTTGGGTTTTGAGGAGGAGTAATTTATACAGCACAGTCACAAAGTGGGTTCAACATGATCAAACTGCAATCAGCCTGTAGGATGGCAAGTGTAGCTGCTTAGCTGCTATTGATGCAACAGAGAAAGAAGCCAGCAAGGACCCATGGAAAAACAAAGGTATTTCGTGGGAGGCATGGGTCCAGATGCCTGATACCTATCTGGACTTACCGGATAGGTGATGCTGATTACAATATTGACTCAAGCTATTGTTTATCCCTTAGGGAGGTATATAGGCCTGGCCACTGTATCACTATCTTATTTATTATTATTATTATTTTTGTCTTTTTGAGATAGGGTTTCACTATGCAGTTCAGGCTGGCCTTGAACTCACTTTGTAGCCCAGGTTGGCCTCAAACTCTCAGCAATCCTCCTGCCTCAGCTTCTCCAAAGCTGGGATTACTGGTGTGTGCCACCACACCTAGCCTACATCATTATTTTGAGAAGTTTTTTCAGACATTCCTTCAGCCACAATCTTGATATCTTTTTTTTCCTGCTGACTTCTTTGGGGTCCAGGCTGTCTCTGAATATATATTTACTTTTATCTAATTTGCTGCCTATAATAAAATCACACATACTACTTGATGCTGAAAATCTAAAATACATGAGTTACAAAAGTTCCTGTCTGAAACCCAGTGTCTCAGGAGGTGGCATCCTTTGAAAACAGAGCTGTTTGACATCTCGTTTAGTTAAGATGAGGTCATACTGGAGTCTGGTGGTACTAAATCTAATGTCTGATTCTTGATAAAAAAGGAGAATTTGGACACAAACATATACAGGAAAGGGAAACACTAGTTGAAGAAAAATAGGAAGATAGCCATCTGCGAGTCTTGGAACAGGCCAGACCATTTCCTCCTCTCGCACCCCAAAGAGGAGCCAGCCCTGCTGGTATCTTCCAATTTCTCCCCTCCAGAACAATGCATTTTTGTTGCTTACACCACCCAGTTCCTGGAATGTTGCTAGGCAGCCCTGCAAAGTGAACACACCCACATTTCCTGAGTTCTACTCTCAAATCATTTTTGCAAGAAAAGAGAGTCTTTTGTTATCTCAGAATAGTATGAAGCCATAAAGTTTTCCGAAGGTTAGCTTGTTTTGATTTTGTTTTTTCTCGCTACATAGTTCAGGCTGGACTTGAACTTACTATGTAGACCAGGCTGGCTCAACTCAAAGTGATCCTCTTGCCTCAGTCTCCCAAGTGCTGGGATCACAGGTGTGTGCCACCGTGCCCAACAGCTTTTGTAGTTTATCTTTAAGATACTCTGTTCTTGGAGTCATGTGACACACTGTGCTTTCTTGTATAAATAGCAAGCCATCTCCTGGCTTAAAGCAGTCTTTGAATTTCAGCATGATCCCTTCTCAGCTGCTGGTTTCGGCAACATTTTTAGTTTTCTGCTTTTTAAAAGTCAGCTCCTCGGCTACTTTCACTGCAGCTGTCTATGAGCATGCCGTGATTCTGCCTAATGTTACCTTAACCCCTGTGTCTTCTGAAGAGGCTTTGGCATTAATGAATCGGAACCTGGACCTTCTCGAGGCAGCAATCATATCAGCAGCCAAGCAGGTACTGTCTCTCCTACCTCTCCCGTGCTAAATTCTGTGGGAAATCTGGGAATTGAGACACAGGTCCTCATCAGGGTCGGTCACACTTTTGGGTGGTGTGTGTATCAGGACAGCTGAGATCATTGGTGACCACCAGAATCCGACTTTCTGCTCATACTGTTAGAGCAAGGACACGGTCTACTGCCCTAACAGTGATCAGTGGGTTCTGGTCAACCCTCAGGAGCAGCAGAACTTTGAGCAAGTTGTCAATGCAGCATTGTCGTGGGGCTGGAGGATCAATGGGGCAGGGACCTGGTGCTGTGCTTGGAGCTTCAGTGTCACGGTGTACTCTTGGTCACTTAAGAATTTGTACGTTCTCAGGTAAATTTACAGGTTGAGAGCTATCAGATCGAAGTTGCAAATTACTAGTGTATATTATATACTTCATATTTGATTCTAATTACAAGATAAAAGTGTATATGTTAATTTTTGCCAAGTCTTTTAGTTGAATGATTAAATTTGAAGCAAATAATACAGAATAAGTGTGTGGTTTGGATGATTAAACAACTGTTTAAATAGCAGGTGTAGGGACTGAAGATATAGCTCAGCAGTACAGTGTCTGTCTGGCAAGCATAAGGTCTAGAGTTTGATTCCCAGTACCAAAAACAAACAATGGAGATCAGATATATGACAGGAATGTAGAAAGTTTCATAAAGTTCATGGATATGTCTGTATTTATTGTACTGAGGCTTGAAGGCTTGAACCCAGGAAGCACTGAGCTGTATCATAGCCCTATTTAAAATTTGTTTTGAGAAAAAAGTTTCATCTAACCTGCCATACTGCTTCAGCCTCCTCAGTAGCTGGAATTACAAGTGTGCACCACCACAGCCAAAGAATACACAGTATGTCATCACAGATATTAAAATTAAGAGGTTACCAGGAGTTTCTGAGGTTCTTTTTCATGTTTTGCCCAACTGTTTCCTTAAAGGCTACAGCACCTTTCAAGGTGACTCTCTAATCCAAAGCTGTAGGGTTAGTTCAGGAAGTCCTTCTAGGCTTCTGTTGGCCAGGCAGCCCGAGGACCCCTCCTCGTGAGGAGCAGGAGTCCTGTTTGAAGGTTCCGGCAAGGGAAGTTGCAGTAGAAAAGCAAGTAAACAGCATTTGAGTTACAGATCAGTTCTGCCACAGCCAGGTCCAAGGATTGGTCAAAGTTCAAGAAGGCAATGGCTTTGGTGATGCACCGGGCCTGTAGTTAATCATTGCAGAGGCTATGGGAGCCGCAGATATCCTGCAAAGCTGTGTGTGGTCACGGAGGACTGAAAGGGTCCTACAGAAACTAACATAGCAGGATGGGACACTTGAAGTGCTTGAGAAAAGACAGGAAGCTGTAAAAACACAGAAACCGATTAGTTAAAAGTGTTAGTGTACCCACCTCCTTGATTTTTGTCCATTTGGGAAAAGTTTTATTAGCTATGTTTTCAACAGGGTGCACAGATCATTGTGACTCCAGAAGATGGTATTTATGGTATGATCTTCACCAGGACATCGATCTACTCATACCTGGAGGATATCCCAGACCCTCAAGTGAACTGGATCCCCTGTGATAACCCTAACAGGTAAAGGAACAAATGTAAAGAATCTTCTCAGGGTCACCACTGTGTTGTAGCTAGGAAAGTGCAGTTGGTGACCGTAGTGTAGGTCCTGTGTTAGTCAGTGTGCTAGCGCTGAAAATTAAAGATAAGGCAGGACTTCCCTGTGTCACTTCACTGCGGGTTTCCTGTGTGGCTGGTACTTCTGTCTCTCGTTCCTTGTGTTACTGTTTTCCTTTGTATTTAGTTGATTTTTTTTGCACGGAGACACACTTATTTCCCTTCTCATTTCTTTTTCTATGTATTCGATTTTTAATTTTATGAGCGTGATGATTTTATTTACTTTTTCCACATACATTAATTCAATTTTTAAATTTTATTTTCAGAAGCCAAAATTTTAAAAAATGGTATCAGCACATTTTATGTATGCATGTCTGTATTTATTTATTTGGAGACAGTGTCTCGCTATGCAGTTCAGGCTGGTTACAAACTCACTTTGTAACCCAGGCTGGCCTTGAACTCACGGTGGTTCTCCTGCCTCACCCTTGAGTGCTGAGATTGCAGGGATGAGATTACAGGCGAACACCACCACACCCGGCCTGCTGGCACAGGATAGCTATACATAATGATAACATCCACTGTAGGGAATTTCTACCTGTACATGATATATCTGGTTTCTTTTTCTCCCATTCCCCTCCTTTCCTTCAGTACTATTTCCCCTTCACTGTTTACAAAAGCTTTATTTCCACTTTTTCTTTCTATTCTTTTTTCTTGTTCTTTCCTTCCTTTCCTCCTCCCTTTCCCTTTTGAACATTTCAAACATTCCCCTTCCCATTTGAACACTTTCTTCCCATTTCCCAATATCTATTATCTATTTTGGTCCTTATTTATACTTTTAGTATCTCACACCAGAGAAAAAGTGTGGTATTTAAACATGGGCATCTGATTTATTTCATTAACAGTAGAGTCTCAAGGTGCATCCATTTACCTAGAAATGTCTCAAGCTTATCCTTCTTTATGGCAAAGTAGTATTCCATCACATTAAAAACCACATCTTCTTTATCTATTCATTGGTCGACAAGCATTTGGGTTGATTACACGATTTAGCTATTACAGACTGCAGTGCTACAAACATGAGTGTGCATATATCACTGTGGTAGGATGCTTTTAATTCCTTCAGGAAGACACCAAGAAGAATAACTGGTTCAAATGTAACTGCTAGCTTTGATTTTCTAAGGAATCTTCACACTGATTTCCACAGTGTAGGCACCAGTCTACACTCCTACCAACAGTGGATAAGTGCTCCTTTCTCTTCACAGCTAGAATTTCTTATTGGTGATTTCTTGATAACAGCCACTCTTTCTTGAGTGAGGTGGAATCTCAGCACTGTTTTGATTTTCATCTCTCAAATGACCAATGGTGTCAAACGTTTTCATAAATTCATTTTGTTACTTGTACTTCTTCACCTGAGAAGTGTCTGCTATCTCAGATGTCCATTTTTTGGACTGGGTCCAAGGTCTGGAGTTCACCCTAGTGTCTTGTGCAAGTCCACACCAGCAAGCTGATAGGTCTGCGATAGAAGGCCAAAGGCTCTATGATGAAAGGCTGAAGAGTCTGTGCCGGAAAGCTGAGAAGTCTACACTGGAAGCCAGGAGATGAGGTCCAAACCAAAGATGAAGACCAGCGCTTCTCCCAAGAATGGAATGCATTTGTCCTTCCTCCTTCCCTTTTATACCTCCAGGTGATGAGCCACCCAAGGGTGGGTCTTCTTCTACATCCTTGGGTGTAGAATTGCTAAACCAATTTAGTTAGCTTCTAACAGTCTCAAGTTGACACAATCAATCAACCACTACACGTGGGTTGCTCAAACCTTTGAATTCCTTTCATGTTTACCTCAGTTGTAGTGATTTTCAGCTCCAAACTTTCCTTTCAGTTTCTTCTAGGCTTTTTCTTTGTGATATTTGACTTTGCCCACATGTTCCTTGAGCATCTTTAAGACTGTTAACTATAAAGTCTGTGTTGCAAACCTGCATCTGGTCTTTTTCACGGGTAGTTTCTTTTGGTTTGCTTTGTGTTCTCTGAATGGGTTGTACTTTCTTCTTTCTTTATATTCTTTATAAATTGTTGATAATTGAATATTTGAATCTTGTGATGCTGTAGCTCTGGAAATTAGACTCTTCATTTTCAGGGGGTTGATATATTTTTTCTCCTTCTTATCCTCCTTTTTCTGTTGCAGATTTTTTTTCTGTGGGGAATCAGTGTGAGGTATAAACATAAAGTCATCTCAGGTTTTTTTCTCTAAGCCTACCTTTCCCCAGACATATGTGGTGCCTTTCTAAACTCTCTTGTTCACTTCTATATATATGCTTACTTACTAAATGTCTGTCCTCCAAAAAGGAAAAAAAGTAAAAAATGAAGGAAAGAAAAGAAAGGAAATGAAAATAAAAGAAAAAGGTTGCTTTTTAAAAAACTGTGGTGGTCACTTCAGTGGGAAGGGAGGGCTTGGAATGACACAGTGATCCTGAAAGGGTGTGAGGGAGCAGAGGTGTCTGCCGGCCTCTGTGCCTCTATTTCCCCGAGTAGAAGCAGCCCCAGTAATCCGCATTCATAGCCTTGGGGTTTAGAGGACAGCATGCTTTATGGTCTCATCCTGTTCACATAAATTACCCACAAGCTGCTCCAGAAGCAGGCACACAGCTCCTGGTGGTGACGAGGGTGTGGAATCAATCACCATTCCTGAGGTTACAGCTGAATTTAACTAAACTTTATATTCCCAGGCATCCCTGGAAGGTGTAAACCTTTGAGTTTATGATACAGATCCAAAATAATTCATCAGACAGATTCAGCAAATGACACTTTTGTCTCAGGAGGAAGTCAGATTCCTGGTGTTCCTACTGTACCATCTTCCTAGGATCCTCTTGGTTCCAAGTTTTGGTTCATTCATTCAAAATATTTGCGGCGCCCCTTAGCTCTCAGGCGTGGGTTCGGGGGCACGATGTGTGGGTTTTCCCCCATAATATCTATATAATGCTGCAGACATTTACAGATGAACACAAAGGTGAATATGTGAGCACAGGTGATGATACAGGGTACTGTGCTATGAAGAAAATATGTAGGTGGCCTGGAATCTTACCCTAGAGGGCTTTGTTACAGCCTAATTCCCTCCTGCACGGGCTTTTTTCTGAACTTCCTTTTTGTCTTCCTTCCTTCATCTTTTCTTTTTCTTTGTCTTCTTCATCATATTCTTCTTTTCTTCTTCTTCTTCTTCTTCTTCTTCTTCTTCTTCTTCTTCTTCTTCTTCTTCTTCTTCTCCTTCTTCCTTCTTCTTCTCCTTCTTTCATCTAGGAATTGAACTCAGAACCTTCATACTGAATTACATCGTCAGTCCTATTTTAAAATTTAGAATTTTGGGACAGGATCTCTCTAAGTCACTGAGTTCCCAGTCGGGGCTGAAACTTGTCTGCCTCATTCTCCCACATCTCTAGGATCATAAACATGTGCTCCCAGCCCAGGTCCCCTTTCATCTTAATCTTTCTCTTTTCTCTACTGTTACTGAGAATTTATTTTTGTATACAGGAGAAAAGAGGTTCAGGCAATTATCACTCTGAACTAAGTTAAAAACAAAGCTTGAATTGAAAGTTTTTTCTTCCTGTGAATATTTACCAGATTTGGCCTCGCTCCAGTACAAAGAAGACTCAGTTGCCTAGCCAAGGGCAATGCTATCTACGTGGTGGCAAATATAGGGGACAAGAAGCCATGCAACACAAGTGACCCTCAGTGTCCCCCCGACGGTCGTTACCAGTACAACACGAATGTGGTGTTTGATTCTCAGGGAAAGCTGGTGGCCCGATACCACAAGGTAAGGTAAATGTGCCAAGAAGCAGGTATTTGACTGCTTAATGAATTAGTTTGCAAGCGAGGGAAACTGTTATAATTGATCAGAAGAATGCGTTAGAGACAGAGCAGGACCAAAGAATGGAAAGAAATGGCTAGGTGTGGAGAGAGATTTAGAAACTCACTGGACAGACTTGGCCTTGAGGATAGAGAAGCAAATCAAATTCATTGCTCCCAAGCACCGATTAGGTTCCCTTGGCAAATAGAGTTATACGTTTCTCTCCTTTACCTTGTAAGCTTAGAGTTAAGGGTGCCCCAGCCCACGTCCATAATGTGAGGATTGAACTGCAGGCTACATCCCTCCAGAGGGGCTCTGCCCCCCTTTTCCCTGTGAGGACCCCGACCCCAGATGAAACTGGCACTGCCTAAGCAGACGTGAGCGTCCACCCTCCCAGGAGCAGTGAGATCTGGAGCAGCACCTTAAAAGGGCTCCTTTTGCTTTAATCTCCTGTTTATCCCAGCGACATCTTTTCATGAATGAAGATCAGTTCGATACCCCCAAGGAGGCTGAGGTTGTGACTTTTGACACCGCCTTCGGGAAGTTTGGCATTTTCACGTGCTTTGATGTACTGTTCCATGACCCTGCTGTCATGCTGGTGAAAGACAGCCACGTGGACACCGTCCTCTTCCCCACGGCTTGGATGAATGTTCTGCCGCATTTGTCAGCCGTTGAATTCCACTCGGCTTGGGCAATGGGCATGGGGGTCAATTTCCTGGCCTCCAATTTGCATAACCCTCTGCTGAGGATGACAGGTAATGTGTGGTCTGTGGGATTCAGCTTTACCAGATCTTTTGTTTTTGACAATAGATAAACTAACTCTTGAATCCTACATGCTTCCATGAAATCCAAAGTTTCTACAAAAGCAAGTATTTAATAATTGTTGCACAAAAGATATTTGTGGTACTAAAAATAGAAACTCCCAGACTGAGCCAGGGGTGCTAGCACACTCCTGTAATCCCAGCACTTGGGAGGCTGAGGCAGGAGGATCATTGCAATTTCGAGGCCAGTCTGAACTGTGGAGTGAGACACTGTCTCAGAAAGACCAAAAAAGAAAAAAAAATCCCAAACCTGTATCTCTGTAGTCTTTACAGTATTACACAGGATATGTGCCACATAACAACATTATTTTTTCTTCTTTTTTATTCCTCTTTCCCCTTGGAATAAAATGGATTTGGGCGGGGGAACATATCAACTTTTAATAACATGTACTTCTCAATATAATTATTTCCAACTTTATTTATTTATGTTTCTATGTATTCATTTATTTTTGACATGTGGGATGAAATCCAGGGCCCTTGCACTGATCTACATTTGCACACCCTCCTTTTGGGGTTTTTATTTATTTTTCATTGGTGCATGTTTGGTATGCATAATAATCACATTTATCATAGGAAATTTGTACCTGTACATAGTGTATCTTAGTTCTTTTTTTCCATTCTCCTTCCTTTCCTTCCACCTTTGTTCCCTCCCTATTTACAAAAGCTTTGCTTCCATTTTTCCCTTCCATTTTCTCATTTTATCTTTTCTCTTCCCTTCCCTGTCCCTCCCCACTGCCTGGTGAAACTATTCATATACAATGGAGTATTACTGCCATAGAGAAGGACGAACTCGGGCCATTTTGAGGTAAATGGCTGCACCTCAAGACCTTAATTTTAAATGCAATAAATTAGACACACAAGTTTAAATATTGCAGTATTTCCCCTGTATGAGAGGGTAAATAAGGCGCAAAATGGGGGATAGATATTGGGAAGTAGGAAGAACATCCACAGACCTTTATAAAATCTATTTTGAGTCAGAGACTTGCTAAATTGCCCAAGCTGACTCAAACTTGATGGTCCCCCTAACTCCTCTCCTGGAGAGCTGAGATTACTGCATGTGGCTTCCTATCTAATTCTTGAATTTTATACTTCTAGCAGGTGACATGCTGTAAAATTAATCTCAGTCTAAATTATTGTGTATATTTATTTTTATTCAGCATGAATGTATACTCCTTTTCTGTTTTTATGTAAAGCTTTTCCTTCCTCATGTCATATTTTATTGGATTTTGTCTCATTTCTTTGACTCCTTATCAGCATATTTTACTAAAATTAATGAACTGTGTGACTTATACGAAGTGAAACAATCATTTGAGTTTACAATAACAATAACAATAACTATGAAATACATTTCCGCTCCATACTTTCAACTACTTACTCCCAGGAAGTGGCATTTATGCACCAGATTCTCCCAGAAAATTTCATTATGATATGGAGACCCAAGAGGGAAAACTCCTCGTGTCCCAGTTGGATTCTCACCCCTACCGCCCTGAAGTGAATTGGACTTCCTATGCCAGCAGTATTGAAGCCTTCTCAGTGAGAAACCAGGAATTTAAGGGAACTGTCTTTTATGACGAATACATCTTTGTGGAGCTCAAAGGAATCACAGGAAATTATACAGTCTGCCAGAAAGATCTCTGCTGTCATCTAAGCTACCAGATGTCTGAGAAGAGGTCAGATGAAGTTTATGCCTTAGGAGCATTTGATGGGCTGCACACTGCCGAAGGGCAATATTATCTCCAGGTAATGTTTGGGGTCAGGAGAGCTACTACATAAAATACAGATGCGTAGATAAATTTGAATGTTGGATAAACAGTGATTTTAGTATGCTGTAAGTGTGTCTCTCTTTAGGGAACACAACTATTTTTTTTTCTTTAGCTGAAACAAATTTAGCTGGGCAGCCTATTTTTATTTGCTAAATCTTGCAATTCTATTTTTTTTAATCTTGCAATTCTATGTCAGTCCAATTTTAAACTGGTTAGAAAAAAGACATAATATTCATTTGTGGGATTGACGTTAAAAGTTACTCACATTATAGGTGATTTTGATGGACAATTAAATACTTGTACCTAACCTAAAATTTAGACATTATCTGTCCTTGTTCACTATTGCCTATCCTGCTTTATAAAGAGCTTGACACTAAGAATGTGCTGGAGACAACTGCAGTTGTGTCTGGGATTATTCAGTAGAATAGTTTGTTGCTGCAGACTCTGATGTCTCCTAGCCCTTGACTTAAAGAGCAAGCTATCATGAAGCACTGAGATGGAACCTGCTCTATTCTTCTGTACTCTGGCTCCATCCACTCACTTGGGCACCCGCAATACCCACCTAACAGGGTTCCTTTAATCATTTCACCTCTATTCACCCCATTCCCTACACTATTAGTGAAACAATCATGAAAATCCCCTTCTCACTATATCACTTTCTTACAGTTCATCACTGACAATTGAAAGGGCAAATTCTCCAACCTAAAAGTTCACTAAGTCTTGCCATGTGGTCCTCTCTGGCTCTCTATCCCTCTCTTTCACCTCCATTCACATGTGCCCCGGTTCCGCCACACTGATGTGTTTGTCTACTTCCTGTTCACCAGCACTGGCAGAATCTGTGAATGTTTGTGGTTTGTTCTCTCATAGTGATTTCAGTTATTGTCTTCACCATGACACTCCCGCAGAATCCACTGCCCCTCCTGCCTGGGTTAGGTACTTCACCTGGGTGCTCCCTGAACGTTGTACACTTAATTTCATCAAATTCACTTTATGTCACAGCATTCCTTGAGACTGAGTGCCTTTGAATGCTGGCATGATACTGATGGCATAACATTGTTTGCTTTAATAAGCACTCTACCAGTGCTTGTATGTCTTCACAAACATTTATTGAGTTTCAGCTATAAGACAGGTAGACAGTCAGTGTTAATGATGTGAAGATAAAGAAGCACAGACCCTCCTTTTGAGAAATTTTGCGTGTAGGATAACAGTAAAGCCTTTGAACAGATAATCTCAGCAGAGATTCTCATGTGAAGGAACTTAGTAGGCACATTTTGTTGTAAGAGGAATAGGGCTGACCTGAGTCTAACTTCAGGATCTAAAGCAGTTTCTAGAGCTAATAGTATGATCTGGATGGAAGAGAGACTTTCCCTCACCAAGGGAAAGTCTAGATGTAGCAGGAAGATGAGCTAGAACATGGATATGTGGAAGACCAGCATGTGTGGGAGGTGTATAACATGAAAAGCTGGCAGAGGATTAGCCTGGACCCAGCACCATACCCCATGAGCTCCTACCTTGTGTACTTAAGAGCCGCACTTTATTCTATTGCTGGCAGTCAGAGATTGATGTGATTAGATCTGCTTTTGAACAGGCTACTTTAGCATGCAATGTAATTTGAATCTAAGGTTAAAAAACTAGATAAACTAATAAAATGGTACTATTAGGATATGGACCAAGATTAGGTTAGTAGGAATAGATGCATGGGGTAATAGAGAGAAATATTGGGGCAACAACTCAGTGGAAAATTTGATATGGAACCAGAAAGTAGAATAAAGGGTCTAGAATATGCTAGGCTCCTGGCAAGAGTGGCTAGGTGGATGAGATGGCTTCGAGAGATCTGGATGCTAGAGAAGAGAATCAGGTGGCAGTGGGGAGACACCGAGTTCATTTTCAGACCTGCTAGTGTTGAAACACTTATGGGATGTAGAATTGGATCCACCTAATAAAGCTACTGAATGTACGCGTTTAATGCTCGAGGAAGACTGGACTTAGAAATATTGGTTTTTGAGAATCAGCAGGACACAGTTGATGATCAAACCTCCAAAAATGAATGGCTTTGCAGAGGAGGTTACCATGTTTCTCTGAAAATAAGACCTAATCAGAACATAATCAGTCTTGAAAATGAGAAATAAAAAATGCCAGTCTCATTTACCTGCACTTACAGAGTAGCTGCTGAGCAAGAGCAGAGTGAGGTGGAATGTCTGCATGACACTGGCCATCACTGTGGTAACCACCAGCCCTTATTTTCCAAATAGGTCTTCTTTTGGGGGAAACATGGTTTTGTAGACAGTAAAAGATGGCAGGAGAAGTGGAGCCTTTAGGAACTGCAGTGTTTGGGCAGGAAATAGAGGAATAGGAATGTACAAGTGTGATTGAGGAATAAAAGAATTTACAAAGAGAACTTTTGTGGAAGCCAAAAATTGTAGAAGCTCTCAGCTGAAGGAAGTTGTGAGGCAAGTTTATGAAATACATTTAGCATTATTGGCATTAACGGGCGGGCACAGTCCTGGTGGCATAACCTGAGCTCACCGAGTGAAACACAATTGATGGTGTTTGAGAAGGGAAGTCAAGACACTGAGGGAGTGAGTGAATTTTTTCCTGCAAAAAGCTTTGAAAAGGGTAACAAGACAGCGCTAGACAGAGACTCATGGTCAGAAGTTTAATTTCCTTCCAACAGATGACAGAGCCTTGACTATCTGTATAGGCCTGAGGAAAAGAAGCAAAAGGGACAAGGATACAAATATAAGAGGATTCAATACTCCAAAGCGATAGAGGACCTCTCCTGGCACTATGCATGTTTTACAATTTGGAATTTTCCAATTGTAGAAGAATTTTGACACTATCAGGTGTAGTACCAGCAGAGTCTGGGTCAACACCCTAAATAAAAACACGTAAGTCAGCTATTGTAAAACATGGAAATATTCATCCAAAATAGCTTAAATAAGTCCATTACAGTCTCCTGTTTATTGCACTTTGATTTTAATGTCAAATGGTTTAGAAAAACCCTTTATTTTTAGGGATATTTGGATTTTGATATTGAGGGCAAGGGATTTTGTTAACTGTATAATGCTGATAATCTCTCAAAGTCTAATTATGATGCTATGATATGTAAGAAAACCTCTGGTATCATTACAAGCTACTTCTTAACCAAAAGAGAAAGAAAATGAAGTAAAGATGAAATAAACCCCTACCTTTCATTAGTGTCAGGTGGTACATACACATGATTTTGTAACACTTTGAAGGATGTGGAGAAAGAAGGAAGTGGTTGCATTTTCTATAGTGTAAGGAGTGGTTAAGCTTGAGTAAATCAGCTTGAAGGATTTGAAGAAAGTAAAGATTTAGAACAATTGAGCCAGGCGTGGTGGTGCACGCCTGTAATCCCAGCACTTGGGAGGCTGAGGCAGGAGGATTGTCGCAAATTCAAGACCATCCTGAGCTACAAAGTGAACTCAAGGCCAGCCTGAACTGTACAGTGACACTGTCTCAAAAAGAACAACAACAACAAAAAAACCCAGAAAAATTAACAAACAAAAAAAGATTTAGAGCCATTGCTATAGGACCATGGGAGATGGAGCAGCCTGAATATTTTAAGGAATCAAAACAAATAAATAATAGAAAAAAAGATTAATTCTTTTTACCAGATGCATTTAGGGGTTTTCTTCCTTAGATTTTTCCAGATCCTTTCCCCAAGTTCAGAGCCCTGGAAACAACCAGCTTCTGGGGCTTTTGGAATTCCCCAGTGATACACGAAATTAGAGATAAAACATCTGCTAAAAACTACGGTTCAAATTCAGGGACCTGAGTAAACAGGACGGATAGCACTTTCATAAAATCTTGGGCAAGTGTTTGCTTCTCCGTGTAGTAACACCCTGGTTTTGGCCCAATGTCTGAACTCTTCCGATTCCTTTATCCTCATCTGTGTCATGGGGATCAAGTGTTAGCTGCCAGCTATTTATGCAATACCCATCACACACAGGCTTGTACCAACAAGCTAGAGATACTAAGACGAGGAGAGATGGAAGCATTGCCTTGCAGAGCTATGTCTAAAGGGAGTAGTGATACGTACTGAACAGGAAATTAAGATGATTGCTATTTGACTTTGGTTGTGGCAAATGCTTCAGAGGAAAAGTGCCATATGAAATTAGAGCATGACCCTGGAGGACCTAACTTGTCCTGGAGAAGGGACAATGATAACACACCCTGGATTTGTCTCTCCTTCTTGTCTCTCAGTACCTGGGCCTTTAATCCTTATCTATGGGGTTTCATTGAAACAATTCTTTCACAATTTTGAGAAACTTTGACTTAATTAGTAAATTTAGTGGTAAGCAGCATGATTGGCATGCAGGGTTCTCAATAGATTTCCCAGGAAGGAATTGGCTGGGGAGGTCTTTCTTCCCTCTTTCTTCTGTCAGTTGTCATCTTGAGCCTTCCTTTATTATCTCCTTAGGAATTGTCTGTTTCCCTGTCCCTGTCCCTAGAATGTCCACCACTGCTGTTTATGCCTACAGGAAGTATGTGGGTGTAGTGGGTCCTCTTTTCCTTGAAGCCTGGCCTTCAGTGAATGTGCTCTGGTCACAACTGTCTTCTGTGCCAAGGGTCCAGCCCTGATTACCTGCCTGCAATATCTGGAACTAACTTAGCTGTCTGTAATACTCAGAGCACTTGTGACTGTTACGAGTTTTCACTTACAATTCATGTTGATATAAGGGAAATGCTAGATGTCAGATATGCAGAGTGTGTGTTCCTGGGGTCAAAGAATGAATTCTTAAGGCACAATGGAGGTTAAGAGTGGGAAAATTTAGGAGTAGGAGAAAAGCAATGGGAGTACCAGTAGGGAATGGGGAATGGGAGTAGCTCCTGTGCGACGGGAGGGGTCATTAGTGGGTTATCAATGAGCCCAACTCTCAAAGGAAGCTTTATTGAGCAAAATCAAGAGGTGGGTACAATATGGGTCAAAACTACGGTCAACCAATAAGGTTG